TCTCTCTCTCTCTCTCTAGATAGATAGATAGATAGATAGATAGATAGATAGATAGATAGATAGATGTGTGTGTGTGTGTTCGTTTTTTGTTTTTATGTTTAGTTTTATTTAACTTTTTCTTTTGACGTATCACCCGTATTTCTTTTTGTTGTTGCTTATTTTGTGGGAGCTATTTTTTTTTTTTTTTTTTTTGTGAGTTTGTTTTAGCTCTATCATCTGACCCCAAAAGTGTCTGCGAAATCAATTCGACGTCTTCCCCATTAGTTAGGGGTTTTGGCAGGTCGGCGTAGTCCATATTCTGACACGACAGAATAATCGCATAGACGAACACACCCTTTCACTCTCTCAAACGCTTTTGCACAAGCGTATACGCACGCACACAAATAAAAAGCAGTTCCTCTGCTCTCACGAATACACTGGTATATACAAATACATAGAAACACATACATGTGCAAATTCATGCACGCAACACACACACGCACACACAGATATATAAATATATACCATATTTGACGACATATAAGGGGCACTTTTTTTTACTAAAAATATCTTTTAAAATTTCCCTGGGTCTTATATGCCATATGTAGGTTTAGAATTCTCGATTGTCGGCTGAAATTAGCTACCTGGCAACTCCTATGAGCTTAGACTTTATACTAACTTTCATATACGTATTGCCATTATTTAAAAGGCTATTATGCAGATTAAAAGTGTTATCACTACCGATAAAAGGCAGGATGTGTGTGTGTGTGTGTGTGTGTGTGTGTGTGTAACGAATGCACGGCCGCAATTTTCGACGAATTTGCACCAAAATTTACATGTACATGCTCCAAGTTAGCGTGAAGGCCAAGACTGACTTTGCATTTCCCAACTCCCATCGATAGTGGAAATAATCGATTTTTTCATGCTTCTACAGCAGTTTTCATGTAGTTTGCGGCCATTTTCTACTGGCCAGAGTGAGAGCCTATAGCTGGCTGCCACGAATAGGCAGGAAGATTCTATTGGCCAGCGTGAGAGCCAACAGCTGACTGACACGAATGTTAACTAGCATGCTAGCATGCAAAAAAATCGATAGCTGCATTCGTCACAAGTGGGAAAAATTTAAATCTGCATGGCACTTTACTTCAATTGGCTCATTCGCTTGCTTAAACTCAACGTTGATTCTGATTCCGCAGAACTGGGTTCGGTGTAAAAAAGTATTTGTTGTTAACATTCTTTTTTTCATTCGGTTTTTCCAGTTACGAGTCTTTTTTTAAAGCTGATCGTTTTGTGTTCATTTTGTTTAGTTCTTTTTTCGTAACAGATTTAATGTTTAGTATAGAGCTTAGAAAAAATTCGCAGTGTGAGATAGGCAAGAAGTAAGGCATGTAGCAACGTCAGCTCAGCAAAGGGCACTCCTATAAAGGCAAGAAAGGGCAAAAATATTTTAAGTCAAGTGATAGCGATAGCGATTGCTACATGAGTCGTACGATTTTTGAATCAAGCACGGGCAACGCCGGGCCATGCTGCTAGTCATTGATAATATTCATTATATTAATTTCATCACCTTTAATATTAGTAATTTGTTTCACTAAAATTATATGCAATAAATTCAAATTTGTAAAATATATTTATTTCATTAATATTTTTCATGCGATAACTTCCGGTTCCATTGGCATAAATACAATCAGAATTTTTATATCGAAATTATTCCAATTAGACGTTTACAAGACGCAGGTTGTGCGGATTATATAAAGGATATAATAAAGCTTTATAGGCTTGTGTTCTTTTTTCCTATTATCTTTCGTTTAATTGTAATCATGGCTTGTTCAAACAAAATAATACCTCATAAATATAGCCTAGGCTGTACCATTTACTAATAATTTTACTAATTACTAATTTTTTCTTGATTTGCTTTTTTATTAATTTTTTCTTGCATTTGTACAAGCATTTTCTTTTCTGGACATAAAATTAGGTAAAAACAGTCCAAACGTTCTATGGATCCAAGCGCTTTCGGCTAATCTGTTGGCACTTATTATTATTTTGTTTCATCGATTAGACATTTTTTTTAACTGAATATGTAGATTTTTATATCTATGTGTCTAAAAGGATTTGAATGTTATTTTCATTTCCGAACATGGTAAGCACGTTGCGACCGTGTTCATAGTTGATATTACTGAGAGTTGCTTATTTCATTAATAATTCCATTATTTTTAATAGTTTTTCTCTGCATGTGGATGAGGCTATTATAGCCGTATTTCCCACAAGTATTTTGCGAATAAAGATTGGTGAGTTATCTATGTGTGCTTAAATGTATTCTAATGGAGGGCTTATGCACCAATACACACACATGCACGCACACACACACATATACACAGGCACCATAGTGAAGAGCTCATCAGAATAATTATCATGAAAGTATTCAATAGAAAAAGAAAAAGCAAAAAGCAACCTTACGGCGGCGGAAAGAGAAGAAAATAAGGTATTTCTGTCATATTTATCACAACATTTCGGCCGTTGAAGA